ATGCTGCGACATTCTAGGTTAAAGCAAATAAAAATAATACTAACTGAAAATAGCGGTACTCCGATAGATATCTGATATAAAAAAATAATTATTATGCGAACACTTTGCGGAACGATTTTATTTTATTTGGTTAAAAAATTCTATATGAATGTCTTTATCACAATATATTTAAATATTTAAACACGTAATAATCACAAAACTCAAAACTAAAGACGTCCGGACACAAGAAGTATTTCTCAATAACTATTCTCTTTGCATGGTGAGATATCCAGGGATATTGGTTATAAAATGAGAAAACAATACATTGGTACCCTAACGGTATTGTACTCGACCAGCGCCATAAAGTGTTCTCTACTTACAAGGGATTTTTATGATACCTGTTACCCCAATGGGTATGAAACGGTTCGCATACGCAGGTAGGTATCTTTGTGAACGGCAAACAAACAAATATTTGGTAATACGCAGTTACAATCGGCCCGAGTTTACACGTTTCCCGCACTCCACCGCAAATCTATATGAACCGAGTTAAAGACGGCTCCCGCGGAGTACGCGCAATTCACGTGAGCCGACTTAACTCGTTTCCCGCACTCCAAGGTCTCTGGAGAACTTGAGTAAAGTAGTTCCAGTTAACACTACGGTGTCGGGTGAATTTCCCGCCAAAATATAAGATGGCGCGGGCAATTATTTAGGTTTCCCACGCAAAATCAGAGTTAGTTTAAAATGCCTATATCTTTTGAAGTATGGGTTCGATTGAAATGAAACAATATATGCAGTTTTCCTCAGGATAAGGACCCAGTTATCCCCACTAGCATGACATGCAGTTGTTGGGGAGTGAGTTTCTCCTTTATCATCTGCTGGCTGCACCAATTGTGGAGTACAGGTCCTTTATCTTGCCTACTATGCCAACTTTTGGGACCGAGTCCCTCTGCCAGGGACTGGACCTCCTTGGACATTGCGTATTCAATGAAGAAGATATGAGAAGTCATGGGTATATAAGAGAGTCTTTACTGTGGTCCAAGTAGCCATTGCTAATAAGGAAGTCCACAGAGTAGTCCTTGCTAACACAGTAGTAAACACAGAGTAGCCCTTGCTAATACAATAGCAAACACAGGAGCCATTTCTAACAAAACAGACTGAATTTGTTTTTCATAAGTGCTTCACAATTTGCGACGCTATTATAATAATTGTCCATATATATATGGTACCACGAATCAGTGTATGGAGACACTACTGTTTGTATCGTTTCCAATAATCGCTTTCCTTCGCCGCAATAAATTTCCATGTTACAGATATATCCTGTATCACTTTCGCACAACAAACGAACCAATATTCCATATTTAACGATCTTGCCAGCATTATATACCCTAAAGAATAATCTTCCCCTCCAAGGTACGATCCCTTCATCTAGTGATAATTGCTGATGAGGTTTGTAAATATTTATAAATTTAGGCACAAAATAATCTAGTACTGGTCTCACTTTGCAAAGTCTATCTGATTCATTTACGATATCCGCATTAAGATGTTTCTCTCTCATCGATGTTTCTGACTCTCTATCCCTCTCCCTTCCTCTCTTGGATTGCGGGACGAGTTATGTCGGCTCGCGTGAATTGCGCGTACTCCGCGGGAGCCGTCTTAACTCGGTTCATATAGATTTGCGGTGGAGTGCGGGAAACGTGTAAACTCGGGCCGATTGTAACTGCGTATTACCAAATATTTGTTTGTAATCCACCCTTTTGGTGGATGGAACAAAACCAAAAGACAGAGCCATCTTATATTTTGGCGGGAAATTCACCCGCACTCCAAGTGCTAAGTGGTAGGAGCAAGAGCATGCTTGGAGTGTGGTCAAGAGGGAATTAGGAGAGAGTGATGGGAGGCAGAAAATAGGGACTTTTTCTTTTTTAAAGATGGAAGAAATAAAAGCATGCTCTATGCTGATAAAAGAATCTTTGCTTTTCCAGCGATGGACCTAGCCCAGTGGTTCCCAACCTTTTTTTGGCCATGCCCCACCTAAGGATCTCTAAAATCCTGATGCCCCCCGCCCGCTCCCCGTGACATATAATTCTTATTATTCAAAAATTGAACTATTCTCGTGGAGGAAGCCTAAAAGGCCATTAACTTGGTCTAAAGAACCTTCCAAAGATGAAGTTTCCAAAGAACATGGCATCCATGAAAGAGAGAAATAAAAGAATGAAAGGCAGTTGAAGTACTGAGGAAGAAACCACTAAGAAATTGTTGAAAAAATAATAATGATATAAAGTGATATGAAAAAATAGCAACTAAAGTTTCAAAACACATAATAGAGAACTGAAATGCATGTCACAATATATATTTATTTACTGTATATGAGGCCCCTAGAGCCATACGAAATGCAAAAAATTCACTATTAATAACTCATTCTCGAATTGTCCCCCTTAAATATCAAATTGCCCCCATGTGGGGCATGTGCCCCACATTGGGAACCACTCACCTAGCCTTTTCTCCCTAACTTCCTTTTTTGGACTTCACATTTGTATATTTGCTATTTCTTGGAATCTCAACTTTGAGGAGTGTTAATGGGACATCTCAACTCACATGGTGCTGAGGATTGTGAAAATAAACATTTCATGTGGAATTCTCTTTCTCCCCAACTGTTGGTTCCCACTAGTTCGGGGAACATAACACATTTTAGATGTGGCCAAGAGTCCTTAGACCGAGTGGAATTCCATTTCTCTAATTACTACTTGGATGGCTCTTCATACTTGTAATTTGGTGCCCTATCCCAACTCCATAGATGGCTACCTTCCTCAGTTTCTGCATGACGATGGGTTCTTTACCAATCTTCAAAGAATGACAATGACCCAAGAAGCCTGAAAAACTCACCATGAAGCCTGTGGTGGGCACTAGGCTGTTGACAAATATTTCTCTTCAGGGCAGATGGCAAGAGGGCCACTCTCAGATACGGCCATGTGATCTGCCCTGGCCAAGGAAATGTGAGCCAAGTGATGTGCCATTTCCCAGCAAAACCTTTAAGAACCAGTGAGCAGCCTGCCACATTTTCTAGGCTGTCAGCAATTATGGAAGCATGTGTGAAATGAAGCCTCTATCAGCCAGGGCCTGAGCCATAGCCATGAGCAGAGCGCCTTGCGAACCCCGGGTAGACTTCTAGTATGAGAAATGAACTTTAATTTTATTAGCTTTATCTTGGGATGGCAAAACCCAACCTATCCTGACACAATGCCTAAGGACAGAAATAAACAGTGGTGTTCCAGCTCCATTACAACCAATAGATGACTCATTTCAGGATATAAAGGTTTTACTTTCCCATACCAGGAGCAAAGAAAATTCAATAAATAACACAGGTAATAAAACTTTACCTCGCTGTCAGTTCTCCATTAAATAAAAAACCATTGAACCTTTAAAATGTTAACATTAAAAATATGTATTTCTCTTTTAACCAGGAGGGGAACATTTTTCCTTTAGGAGGCTTCGCTAGACTACCAAAAACATTGTCTAATGTACTTCAAACTTTGTTCTTTGGAGGCCATCCGTTAGATCCTCCAGGACTGCTCATTCCAAAGGCAGACTCTCTGGTCTTGGCTTCTTAGAAGAAAGCTTTGGCTCTTAACTCCCAGGAGGTAATTTTCATCTTCGTTTATATGTGTGGTATAATACAAAAATATATTTGGTCTTTGTCCTCAGTTCCTGCTGCAGAGCCGCTAAGACTCTTGGAATTTCCTGATAGGAGAGTGTTTTGTTATTCATAATGAGCCCTTGAGTTTATGCTAATGAGGAGGCCACTTAGGGTGGGGCTCCGGGATAGCCTTAGGAAGGAGCTGGTAAACTGAAAGCCCAAGGGATTAGACCTCCAGACCAACCTCCAGGAACACTGAGGTCTATAAACTCTTGAACTGTGAGATTCGGAGAGCTTTTGGGTTGGTGAGCACATTGAAATCCTGTGAGGTTGGCATGCTCCCAAATCCCTCCTTCCCTCTCCCAGGCCCAATGGAAGTTAAGTGTTTTCTTGAGTTCTGTGAGCCATTCTAGCAAATTACCGAACTTAAGTGAAGGGAGTGGTGGGAACTACCCAACTTTATAACCAAGTTGGATGGGAGTATGTGTAACCTGGGGCCCAGTACTAGCAGCTGGCGTCTGAAGTGAGGGCAGTCTTGTAAATGCTCTTAAACTATGGGGTCTAACAGTAACCTTGGGAGTTAGTGTCAGAAGTAAAGTGAATTATAGGACATCCAGTTGGTGTCCAGAAAATTAGAGAATTGGTTGTGGCTGTAGAAAAACACCCTAAAAATATGTTACCAATATAACACGGAAGTTCATTTCCACATACTGTCTTACTGAGTTTACACGTGCTTCAATATTAGAGAGAGTGTAAGAGACAAATCACAATTCCGCATAAAAATTTTATTTAATGGTCAGATACCAACAAATAATGTCAGTCATTGCTTGATTCTGCTAAAATGTGCTATATAAGATATGCTCATAAGAAAGTGGTACAGTGCATCACCAAAAGCTGTTTAATTTGGATTGTATAGAGTAACAGAGAACTTCATAAATCTTTGTTCTCTGATAAAATTTTTAAAATATAAAAATGAAAACAAAAAAAACCCAAAAGCAGTATTCCAAAATGATAAATGTCACCTTGGACTATTTACAGTAAGATACCTTTATAATAGAATATTCTCTCCTTGATTATTTTCCTCACAAATTTTAAGTATTCTCACTCCTCCTACCATTCGCGTTTTCCTTGGAACAGTCATCTTCCATTCCCTCACTTGTCTTTGAGTCTTTCTCTGATACTCCTTTTTCCTACTCTTAAATGACCAATAATTCTGTTCAACAGACATTTGTTGAGCACCTACGATGTGCCAGGCACTGTGTAGGAGGTGGAGATAAATACAGAGATGAAAAGTCATTGACACCCCCGCTCCTCAAGAAGCTGAGTTTGGGTTGAATTAAAAATAAAAATGTTTTCACGTTATATTCCACGAAATCCCAAGCCCGTCTGTCCACGTGGCCTACCTCCAACACGTGTTGAATTTATAATTCTATTCTTTTCTATGAAGCACAGCCTCAAGAGCCCAGGCCTACAGTTTGAGTTCCACACTCTTAGCAGGTGGGGCTACATGTTAGGCATTAGGGGACAGCGGTGCCAATTCGTAGGGGGAGGGGGGTAATCTTCTAATTGGCTTCTACAAGTTCCGAATCTGAAAAGCCCTTCACCACCACCCCCAATACAAAATTTGACCTATAGACACATAGGAAGAAACTCTCCCCTGACTTGGACTTGCGACAAGATGCTGGGAAACTCCTGTCTTTAATAAATGGCCAGCAGGAGCTCCTTCATGACCTCCACACGTTTCTTTGTGCTTTTCTGTGAACATAGTCTTAGCTTCAAACATAAAAGCAGCACATTAAGCCTGCAGGTCACCTTTTTGTCTTTTTCTTTTATCATGTTTGAAACCAAAACAAGCTCATCTCTTGCTTCTGGCCTACATCTCTGTCCATGAAGCCTCAAGAGATCCTTGGTGGTTATTTTAAAAAAAGAAGGCAAGCCATGAACTAGAAAACAAAAATGATAGATAGCATACTCTAGAAGCAACAGTGAAAGCACACCCTCACTGCCCCATCCTGTTCCATGCTGAGCAGACCACACACGTTCACATTTGGAAATATTTCTTGGTCACAGTAAAGTCCGAATCGTGGCGGTGGGCTTCACTCTCACAGTTCATAGCCTGTTCCTCTTTCACTGAATCCTCACAGCCAACCACTGGATAGTGATGGAGTTTTTGTGGGGAAGTTCTATCCTTGAACACGTGTTCCCACAGGTCACCCAGGGTCAACCTCTGTACAGCTTCCATCCAATTAGACGACACACTATACATTCAAGAGTATTAGTGCCAGGTTCAGAACTTCCTCAGGAGCTGGTTCCAAGCCCTTGGGATCTGAAGGCAACTTCGGGAGTTGGCATTATTCCCATGATGCATTTGGCCTGCTCTACCCTATGGTAGGGTGACCGCAATGTGTGAAACATGAAGAGAATGAAGAGCAGGGAGTACTGGGAGAGAGGGGAAAAACTGGTGATCATACACAAACTTCTTGCTCTGTCGTGCATATATTTTCAGTGTAACAGCGTGTGTTTTGACATGTAAGGGCTTGTGCTTTTTTGTTACAGAAATAACTCGCCCTGAAAAAACTCATTTGGCAAATGTGGCCACGAATGTGTGTGTGTGTGTGTGTGTGTGTGTGTAAAATATGTCGTGAGGTTACGTGTCAAGTCCAGTGGGTGTGCCGTGCCCTCCTGGTCCCTCCCCCACTGTCACACCCAGCTGACCAGCAAGGAAAAACTGATAGGTTACACCTGGTCAGTTTGATATTCGGAAGCTTCAGACAGGCTTTCTGAGAAGCTTAGGAAATTCTCTTGGTACTCAGAACAAACAATCTCGTAACGGTAATGCCGGAACTCCACAGCGAAGGTGCCAAAGTAGGACAGGAAGCACATGACCAGGCCCCACTGGACCCTGGCTGCGTACATGTGGATGCCTTGGGCCATGAGGATGAAGTCTGGGGAGGAGCAGTCAAGGAAAGTACTTCTATCAGCCACGTGAAAACTGGGCTCTTTTCTGGGCAGAGACAGGTTACAGGAAAAGCTTGGCTCTGCCCCTCACTAGCCAGAGTTAGCTTGACAGAGCTTGCTGAACGCGAACATACAGGAACAACACTTGATCACATTATCGAGCTCTTACTTTGTGCCAGACATGCTTCTAGGTGCTTTCATGGAAAATCTAACTTATAATCCTCCTAACAACCCTATTAACATCATTAATTCATTGGTGTGCCTCAGGTGGTTGAGCGTCCTTCTGTGCACCGGACGGTTGCCGGTTCAATTCCCTATCAGAGCACATGCCCAGGTGCGTAGGGGAGGCAGCCAATTGATGTTTCTCTCTCACATCGATGTTTCTTTCCCTCTCCCTCACTCTCTAAGATCAATAAAAACATTTTTTTTTAAAAATAGGGAAACTAAAAATAAATAAGAAATAGGGAAACTGAAGCCAAATGGGTAATTTGCCCAAGGTCACACAGGTTGTAACTGGTGCACCCAGGATTCAAACACAAGCACTCCGACTCCCAGGCCTTGCATTCAACCACTATACTCCACGGCTGCCTAATGAGCTGTGAGATTAGCAAGAGTCACAATACCAAAGTAAGTAGTTGGCCAGAAAAATAAAGTGATCTTTTTAAAAATCAGTGCAAATGACTGGATGCACAGTCATCATTCTATCTGCAGAAACAATTTTGAACCTCCATACAAGCTGCATTTTTCTCTGCAGTGCTACTAATAATGTCTAAGTGGTCCCTCTTCCTTTTCTGTCTAGTTTTCACTATCGTATTTTAGACAACACTGTATAGGTTAGTTTCATTCATTCATGGTGTCATATTTAAAAATTGTACCTAAATGAAAATATTTAATTAAAAAAAACACAGATAAGATTCCTGTGCCTGAATATACACGGAGTATGTATGTTGAGAAAGACTTAGTGAAAGAACAAGAGATCAAGGACTAAATAACTGTATTTAGAAAAGGCAGAAATACCCCCTTAGAATTAGTTCTATTGTAAGAGCTTAGACTTAAGATCTTGGGAAATTTTCAGTCAAACTTTGCTCTCCAGATTAGACCTGGATCCATTCATCTGGGAACCAAGAAGTGGCTCCAAGTGTTCAGAAATAACATGGATCAGAATCACTTGGTATAAGCTCACACACTCAGAATAATTTAAAGTCTGTACATACTCTTCTGATTAAGGGTTCAAAATATTGCCAAAGCAATAGTATTACTTAGGTTAATGGGGAAGGAATGAATCTTCAAATCTCATACTGGCAGAGTTCTGACCTTTTCACTCAAAATATTTTATTAGGTTGCTAACAAAGCTTTTTGGCTTGATTTTCAAATCCTTAAATGTTCTCTAATGCAACAGCAGAACTTCAAAAGAAAAACCAACCAAACAATAAATGACTTAATGGCAATTTGTGAAGGAAGAAGAAATAAAAGACTTCAAATACTCCACTACCTAAAGAACATCACTAAACACGAAATATTTTTATATTTTAAAGCCACATTCTCTAAGGTGAGATTATGTATTGAACTGAGACTGACTTTAAATCAAGATCACCACATACTGTGTGATCTTGGGTAAATTGACCTCAGTGCTTCACTACTCTTACCTGTGAAGATTAAGGAAGTTGACACATCTAAAGCAAGCATGTCAAACTCGAGGCCCATGGGCCTCATGTGGCCCACAACGAATATTTTTGCGGCCCAATCAATATAACGGTATGTAAGAAACGTTTTAATAAAAATTTTGTAACTTAATTTTTACAATATCCTTTTATACATTATATATATAAAAAGAGGTAATATGCAAATTAGCCAGACACTGTAACAGTCACGATTGGTCAGGAGAAGGCTGCGCATGCAGGTGAGGCCCAGAGCGGAGACAGAGACAGGGGGGCCTGCCCGAGCCCCCGCCCCGCACCAGCTCAGGCAGCCCCAGAGCAGACAATGACAGGAGGCCTGGGGCTGCCCCAGCAGCCGCAGCAGCTGGAGCAGTCCCGGAGCGGACACAGACAGGGGGGCCTGCTCCAGCCGCGGCACACCGGCAGTCCCACCTCTGCGTGTGAGCTGCAGAGGAAACACCTTTTCTGACCACTCATTGGCTAAGCTCCCGGTATGCCACTCGCAGTGTTCTTGGTAACTTGGGTAATAGAATCCAAGAAGGTGATGTAGGGTTTTTCCACCTCACTCCTGGAGGAAAAAACGAAGGTCCGCTGCTGGAGGGGCTAAGAACTGTCATATTCTGCCCTTGCCGGTTTGGCTCAGTGGATAGAGCCTCAGCCTATGGACCGCAGGGTCCGGGTTCGATTCTGATCAAGGGCATGTACCTACGTTGCAGGCTCCTCCCTGGCCGGGGCCCAGGTCAGGGCTCACGCAGGAGGCAACCAATCGAAGTGTCCCTCTCACATTGATGTTTCTCTGTCTTTCCCTCTCTCTTCCATGCTCCCTAAAAATCAATGGAAAAATATCCTCAGGTGAGGATAAAAAAAAAAAGAAATGTCATATCCTATGAAAGAGATATCTTGAAAATGCCTAAAGAGAGTTGTCATTTTTTTTGTGGCGAAGGGACTGGAGTCCATGTTGATGAAAACACCTTGGTGGCTGCAGCGGCTGGCAGTGGCAGCAGCAGCGGGGTGCTGGGGCTGGTGCCTTCCCCTGATCAGCCCGTCGCCTCCCGCAGAGGAGTGGGCCTAAGCTGTCAGTAGGACATCCCCTGAGGGCTCCTGGACTGTGAGAGGGGCAGGCTGGCCTGAGGGACCCCCCTCCAGTGCACGAATTTCATGCCCTGGGCCTCCAGTTATTAATAACGAACTACAACATTCACTAATGACTGATTACTATAATTGTGTTGCATTCATTTCCCTTATGTGCAGGCGCACCATTTCTCCCCACTAATACTAACAGCGAATATTTTTGCAGCCAATCGCCACGTCATTAGTCTTGTACTGACTTGTTTGGTGTGCGCAACAGAAAATATTTTGCTTTCGGAGATGAAGAAAAATAGGTTTATATGCATTACGCTTATTAATTTGTGCAGTTTATTCAGTGTCTGGTAAGTTAATGTTCAAGAAAAATATTAATCTTTATTAAAATGTTCTATTATTTTATGTTGACGATTACTCATTTATTTCAGCCCTTTGTATTTAGCATGTCTCTATCAAAATAAACCTACGTTTCTATAAAAATTGAAGTGTTTTTTTTTTGCAGCCTACATAAACTTAAACCTTGTTTAGTTGGCCCGTGTTAGCCTTTGAGTTTGACATACTTGATCTAAAGTATTTAGGATAACCCCGGGCACATTATTAGTGCCCAGTAAGTATTGGCTGCTATGTGACTGAAGATGTGTAATTGTGTTACCCATTCAGTCTACCATCTAGGAACCTTGTTCCCTTCTTTGGTTTCCTATGGGAGTGAACATTTATGATCACTCCACCCCATGGAATGAGTAAGCAATCTGATTGGTGGGATTGAAATTGGCTGGCCCATTGGGCTATGCCACCAGTAGGTGAAGTCACTGTGTTCCATACTAGACTAGTCTCTCTCTCTCCCTCAACCCTCTCTTTTCTCTCTGATCTGTTTGGGGTTAAACTGAGTGAAGCGCCCTTCTCTTCCTTTCCCTGGTTTCTCTACTTGTTACTGGGTGGATAAATTGAATGCCAGGGTGTGAGATGAAGGCCTGCGGCATTTTCCTTTCCAAATTTACCAGGAATAAAGGCTGATTTCTCCCCATTTGGATCCTTGTGTCTGTTCACCATTGGTTTAATCTCTGAGGGAGGAAGGGAAATAAACAGTACGTCAAAACCTCAAAAATATGTTTTAGGACAACTATACCTGTAGTGGTAATCTAATTCTTGAATTTGTTTCCTAAAAAAGCTTATTTTCCTGGAAGATATAAATGTATTTGTCCTTTGAAATTCATGTTAGAGTGAATAAATTAAATTGTAGGGCCATTAATAAAGTTAAATGAAATTTTTTCAAGATTGAGGGGGAAAAATCACAATTCTCTTTTGGTTGATCATTCTGTATTTCTCACAAAGGGAAACTTTTACGTACGTCGTTAGTAATTAGGAGAGTGCATGACACCATGTCCATCGAGTGACACAATCTTGAGAAGGCAGAGCTTATTTTTATTTTCAGTTCTCCTCTTGGGCGTGAGAGTTTTTATTTTTATACCCGTTTTCTTTTCTGTTTTATCTACCGTAAGATTCTGAAATGATCTATCTATATCCTAACCAACCTGGAATGGCAATTTTCTCAGTTATCTGTATTTTAATCTCAGTGGCAAAGAGCCTTTTCACATTCAAAGGATACAGAGGACCACACAGAGAGTGATCAATGCTGAGAGAATAACTCGTGGGATTCCAACTTTGCGTCCTTCATTCTTGATGTTGACTTTGAGTGTCAGTGCAGCCTGGATCCAGCACGTCAATGTGCCAAATCCGAAGGTCAAGGAGGTGCCAACATTATGGATTTCTTCATCATTTGTGAGCTAAGGGATGAACAGATAAGAACGTGTGGAGGCCCATTTAGAAACAACATAAAAGCCAATGGAATAAGTTAGGGGTAGGAATAGTGATAGCCCAACAATGAAATGATGAGTTTTAGAAAGATTCGAGTCCTTTATCTCCACTGGTTCCTTGGGTCAGTTCTCAGTTGGTTTGAACTCTGAGGGGAAGAAGAAATAAACAGTACCTACAAACCTCAAAATTTTTGTTTGAAAAAACATACAAGGCAGTGCTAATCTATTCCTTGGATTTATTTTCCAGAAAAGCTTTTTAGAAAAGTAAAAGAAAAAGGCAGTAAAGTTATACCCCCAAAATAGAGAAATGTCAAAGTTTCTACAAACATACACCCCAAACTTTGTTTTTTAGACTAAGCAGTGAGACCTGGGATCTGTCTGTGTGTTTACTGACTGAGGAGGACCAAATCTAAAGAGGTCATTATTGCACTGGCATAGACAACTAGTAACACGCAGACTGTACATTACTCCTGCAAAACTGGCTTGTCCATATAGTGTGGCCAAACAGTGAAGTGGTCACACTATATGGACAGGCCAGTTTTGCAGGAGTAATGTACAGTCTGCGTGTTACTAAGTTTGTTTTGTTTTCCTGTTATAATAAAACTGCCTCTGAGCTTTTGCCATATCTGTAGACCCATTAAAGGACAACAGTGTTTGAAGATTTGTGGCCACAGCATTTATAGAGCTAATGGGTTAAAGGAGACCCATTTGAGTTATTTCCATTGGGTGTTAGAGATGCAAACTCCCTAAATCATCACCCACTGATTTAAAACAGTCATTTTTATGGGATGGGAAACAAACTTCAACCTATACTTTTTGTAATTTTTAAAAGTTTGAACCATGTAACTATATTATCTATTTTTTAAATTAGGTTAAAATAATAAATAAATAGGGAGGCAGGGATATCATTTGTCACTTAAGGCACCTTTATAATTACATATATTTTAAAATATATATTTAGGAAAATAAAAATCTATTTTGAAGTGGTAGTTTTTAAAACATGGTGAAAGCCCTGGCCAGTAGCTCAATTGGTTAGAGTGGTGGTCGGCAAACTGCGGCTTGCGAGCCACATGCGGCTCTTTGGCCCCTTGAGTGTGGCTCTTCCACAAAATACCGACTTCTGCGCATGGGCCATGAAGTTTCAATCACACTGTACGTGTGCGCCCGCACGTGTTATTTTGTGGAAGAGCCACACTCAAGGGGCCAAAGAGCCGCATGTGGCTCGCGAGCCGCAGTTTGCTGACCACTGGGTTAGAGCATCATCCTGATATGCCAAGGTTATGGGTTCAATTCCTGGTCAGGGCACATACAAGAGGCAACCAATGAATGCATAAATAAGTGGAACAACAAATCAATGTTTCTCTCTCCCCCTCCCCTTCTCCCTCTCCCGCCCCATCTAAAATAAAAGTTTTTTTTTAAGTTTGAAAAAAATGTTTAAAACATGGTGAAAATCTTTTTTTGATTTGCCATTGCCTTCAGATGTTTTATTATTTCACATTGCTGTGAATAATGGTCGTATCAAATCAATATTACTTTCCTTTTACAAATTTTTCTTTCTTTTTTTTTTCTGTATGATTTTCCCCCTCTTTGGAAGAGGACACTTTTTTTCTCTCATAGTTAAAGAGACATGTTTTCAAAACTTATTTCAAAAAATGATTCTTCAAGTCAATTTTTACTTCTAGAAAATTGGTTTTCTAAACTCTATTCATTTATTATTTTAACCTAATTTAAAAAATAGATAATATAGTTACATGGTTCAAACTTTTAAAAATTATAAAATGTATAGATTGAAGTCTGTTTCCCATCCCATATACTAGCCACCTGGTTTTTCCACAGGCAACTAATATGTTATTTGTTTCCTGTGTATTCTATGTAGATATTCCAGAAAGTGTTTTTCATATGTAGCATCATCATTCATGGCTTTGACCTAATCTCTGGGTCAAACAACCTAATCTCTGGGTTTCTCCTAGGACTTTAGTAAAGAGCAAAACGTCTACTCATTAACTTCCATCCAAGTCCTGGTTGAGAGAAATGAAAGTTATTGGGCTCTTTACAACATGCCAGCACCTGCAGCCCAGACAGGTGAGGGAAAGACCACCAAAATCTCGATTAAAATGCTCCGTGCCCTAACATTTTGGAGTTTGATAGGATAAACTCCCCCAAATCTCCTGATAATTCATTGTCCTATGGATACGGCTTCTTGGGGTCCAGGTTGACATGGGATGAGACCTAGAATAGTTAGAGGACTTGGTGGGGTTGCCTATCTGTCAAAAAATTCTGGTTTAATGAATTATCAGGACTGAGGGTCAGGATAAGAGACACTCTGAGAATCTACTGCCATATTTTCTTGGATGTCTATGCCATTTGGACTTCACTCAATAGAAGGGGGAGATATGTCCAGGATCAGGTGTTTGACAAGAGCTAAGTGTCCGGCAGCAGTACACAGCACAGGCGGGAGGATGCTGGGAGGGAGTGGAGGCAGGGAAATCAGACAACTACCATAACACCGCAGAGGTCTCCTTGTCTATTCTGCAAATGAAGCCATGCAGGTCAAGAGTTGGGTGATGGCATTGGCAAAGGAAATTATTCTTAAAGGTGGTGACCTTGGGCTTCTAAGTTTCTGGGAAGAAGAGTTAGTGTATCTTTATACAAGTCATAGGTGTTCTAGAGAAATTCTGGGTTTTCAACTTGAGTTTGCTCATCTGAAATGCGAGCTTTCATCCTAAAAGGAGCTCAGTGTTTAATAATAGGCAAGGATCCTGTTAGTTTTCTAGAAAGGTACAATTTGTGATGAAAGACAGTATAAAGCATTTTGAAACCTTTTGTAGAAAATATACAGCGATGTTTGTAGTTACTTTTCCCAGCAGCTGTGCTGTGTTTCCAATGCATAGTGAGCACCTTCCAGTGTGTAATGCAGAGTTAGGCAGGCCAGGCTGAGAGACCATACAGTCTGACTGCTGGAGAAGCTGTGCATGTCAGGAACCACTATTAGCAATGTTTTGGAAGATTCATGCAGAATGATATGGGCCACATAGTGACTGTCCCTCAGTGGCTGTGATTATCATGTAGGAGAAGTGTGAGACGGAGGTGGAAAAAGGCCAAAATGAAGTACCTGAAAATTACCAAGTAAGGTCATTCCAAAGGAAGACAGACACAGGGCCACCAATCCACTAATATTCAGCCACGGGTTTAAAACCTTTGGTTTCAGTTGTATGAAGCGCAGAACAGCTACCACAAGAGCTAGGGAATAAAAGAAAGTGTTAAAATAGAAAAACCGAAATCAGACACTCAGACAATGAGGCAGAGTTCCAAAGCAAAATTAAACTTTTCACCACAGTACGTTTTTAAATCTCTGAGATGACAGTGTTTAAAAGAAATGTTTCATGCGGTGCTTACCATTGTTTAGCTGTTTTATTGTACCGAACCTGGGGGAAGCAGAGAGGACCTGAAGCAGCAAGCAGTGCTATATGTTTGTCATTTGGGTGATGCAAGGATGATAGAACCATTCATAGTGTTCTCAGGGTTTTCAGAAATGAGGCCAGCACAGGACAGACTGGCTTAGGAGGCATTGCAGAAGCTTGACAGCCCCTGGCAGGGAAATTCAGACTGAATCATCCTTTAGCTTAGAACAGTGTTAGAACAGACAGGGCAGAAACACATGGGATAGAAGACAGGTCTATACAAACCTGCTGGTTCCTGTCCCAGAAATCATTTCTGCGGACGGAAGGAAGGTAAGGCAAGTGCACAAATCCCTTTACTACTGGTTTACTCCTGCTTCCCTCTGACTCCACCTGGAGGTGTTCATGGACGAAGGAGAGCAGCTACAGCAGTGTTTCTCAACCTTGGCTGCACATTAGAATCACCTGGGAATCTTTTTAAAATCCTGATTTCTGGGCCTCATCTTCCGGAAATTCTGTTTCTTTCTTACTAATGTTGTGGCCCCACCCCATAACAAAGAAACAGAATTTCCGGAGGATGAGGCCCAGAAATCAGGATTTTAAAAAGATTCCCAGGTGATTCTAATGTGCAGCCAAGGTTGAGAACCACTGAGCTACAGCAACCAAGTGACGAACTATGAATTTTAATATAGCAGATTTGGGGGTCTGGTATGTATTTAAAATCACACTGATTATATTAAGAACGCTCAATTATTCCAAATGAGGTTAATTACTTATTTTAAAACACCACTCTATTTTCTTGCAGTAAATTGTCATTCCAGACCCCAAATAAAGAGTGAAGTAAGTTACTTAGATTTCAAATCTGACTTCTAACAGTAACCTTGAGGATGGTCCATACTTAAGCCACGAATCTAAGAATCCCCTTTATACTGCTTAGTGCAAGGATATTTCCATATTTATACAAAAAGTTGAGAGAGATTAGTTTATGAATGATAAAAAGACACTTGCAATTAATGTAAATTATCTATACATATAAAAGCCTAAGTGACCGGATGACCAGCCGGTAGCTATGACATGCACTGACCATCGGGGGCAGACGCTCAATGCAGGAGCTGTCCCCTGGTGGTCAGTGTGCTCCCACAGCAGGAGCACCGCTCAGCTGACAGACAGGCGCCAGACGCTGGCTCATGGCTGGTGAGCGCAGCTGTGGTGCCGCAAGCCTCTTCCATGGACACTCTCCCTACACGCCGTGGGGCCAGGATGAGTGGGAGTGGCATGGCGCCCAGGCTGGGCTCAGCTCCTCCCTGGCTGCCTGCTGCTTCCCGCACTACTTTGTGCTGTGCGGACAGTGGGCTAGAGCCCAACGAGCTGGCAGGTACGGCCAGGCTACAGCGGTGCAGTGGTCCACTGATCCGTGCACTGGGCCGCTAGTATCTACATAAAAGGAAATGCACTTATCATTTCCTAAAACAATTTATTTTGACATTAAGGTTTAGCAGGGAAGACAACTAGAAATTCAAGAATTACCCTACTTATACAGCAATTAAGTAGGTAATTGCATGCTAAAGGTTTTACAGCAATCACAGGCCATTATTAGTAGCCATTAAGAAAGAAAACCCATTCATAAATTTGCATTTCCAAGTATGCTAAATTTCATAGTTTCAAGCTACAAAGTTAAGCTCAGTGAGTTGACATTCACTTTCAAGTACCTCTGATCAAAGAGTGGTCTACAACTTGGACAATATTTGGATTTGGGAAACAAAATAGAAATAAACCATAACTTATGCAATCTCAAATTTCTGTTCTGATTTAGCTTTTAGTATATTCATGCTTTAGCTAATGCCCACTATTGATTATAATATTAATAAATTACACTTGAATTGACAATGGTTTTCCAACCTCCTTGTTTGAGGAACCTAATTAGGAGTTATATTATATTAGAAGTTCATTTTTTAAAAATATATTTTTATATGTATTTCAGAGAGGAAGGGAGAGGGAGAGAGATAGAGATAGAAACATCAATGATAAAAAAGAATGATTGATCAGCTGCCTCCTGCACACCACCTACTGGGGATCGAGCCCGCAACCCAGGCATGTGCCCTGACTGAGACACACTGGCTGGGCAGGAGTCTATTAATAATGACAATAACTACCCTAGAGGATGAAAAAATTAGTGCAACTTATTGCTTTTTAGGATGGGAAATAGGAGGAGGAAATGGGGAGAGAAGAAATTCAACATAAGCACTCTGACACAAAGTGGCCATCAGATAAAGAAGATTCAGTCCAGAAACCCAAACACAGGGCACCATGGGAGACACATGCTAAGTAATCATGTGTGGACCCTGGTCAGGGAATAAGGACAAAATACCTAGACAGCACATTTCGTTTCTTTTGAAGATGACTAGTGGGAAGTATCATTCTGGGAGCTCTCTGGTTGCCATGTAGTTTGGAAGAGGATCATGCTGGAACTTCGGCCTAAGTGCTAAACTGCTGCTGACGTCAACCTATCCAGTCTGTTCCACTATGTCCAGAAGAAGAGTCAAGAGAGAAACCAAGATGGTGGCATAGGTAAACACCTGAAATTGCTGCCTCGCACAACCACTTCAAAAATACAATTAAAAGATAAAACAGACATCATCCAGAACCACAGGAAGGCTGGCTGAGTGGAAATTCTACAACTAGAAGGAAAGAGAAAAGCACACTGAGACTCAGAGGAGGTGCGGTGTGGAAGTAAAGTGCAGACGTACGGAGGCGCACGTGGAAAGGGCTAGCGGCTGAGGACACGGTTGTCTTTTTCAATCGGGAGGGAGTCTCAAGCTCCGGACTGCTCTGAACTCCAGTTCCGGTGAGTCTCTGGGGACCCAGACTCATATGGGGAGAGGCTAGAGTAGACTGTCTGGCATCGGTCGGACCTTGAGGGCGGCTTTCTCTCAGAGGTGCTTGCAGTGATTGCCGGGACACTGAGAAGCGGGGCCTCTGAGGGCAGGACTGAGGAGCAGCCATAGCTGCTTGCTCCTCTCTGTTGATCCCCTGGGACCCCACCCCACGCAAGCTGTGCGCCGGCTTTTGCATATGAAAGGCCTGGCCCTTTGCAATCTGAACACTTGGAGTGCAGGAAACGAGTTAAGTCGGCTCGCGTGAGTTGCGCGTACTCCGCGGGAGCCGTCTTTAACTCGGTTCATATAGATTTGCGGTGGAGTGCGGGAAACGTGTAAACTCGGGCCGATTGTAACTGCGTATTACCAAATATTTGTTTGTAATCCACCCTTTTGGTGGATGGAACAAAACCAAAAGACAGAGCCATCTTATATTTTGGCGGGAAATTCACCCGCACTCCAAGTGTGAAAATTACCTAACCAACTGCAGCTGGCCCAAGGCCCCACAGCAGCTTGCATTCCTTCACAGCTGAGCTCCTGCGGGTAGCCTCAGGCAGAGGCTAAATTAGCATGTCCTTAGCTCCAAGAGCCAGTGAACCCAGTGGTCAGAGTGGGACCATCCAGATTACAACTCCTCATATCCATAAGGGACACACTCAGGGGGCAGACTCCGTGAGCACCAAAGCCCCACTGAAGCAAGTCTTGCCCCAGAAGGGTGTCTCCAGCACAGAAGTTCTCCCACTGCAGACACAGCTGATTCTCACAAACAATTGGCCTGGAGGTCAATTCCTCCCAGTGATACCTACAACAATCAAGGCTTAACTACAACAAGACTGTGCACAAAGCCCACAAGGGGGTGCACCAAGAGTGTCCACCTCAGGTAATTGGGGAGGCTGAGCCACTGGGACCTATAGGACACCTAGCACAGAAAGCCACTCTATCAACACAGGGAAGCATAAAAAATGCGGAGACAAAGAAACAGATCACAAATGACAGAAATGAAGGAAAGCAAACTACTGGATATAGAATTCAAAACCACGGTTATAAGTTTTTTCAAGAATTTTCTAGAAACCGCCGATAAATTTAGTGAGACACTCAAGAAATCTAGTGAGACTGCTGATAAATTTAATGAGATCCTCAATAAGTCTAGTGAGACCCTCGAGGTTGTGAAAAAGGACCAACTAGAAATTAAGCATACACTGACTGAAATAAAGAATATTATACAGACTTCCAACAGCAGACTAGAGGATCGCAAGAATCAAGTCAAGGATCTGAAATACGAAGAAGCAAAAAACACCCAACCGGAAAAGCAAAATGAAAAAAGAATCCGAAAATACGAAGATAGTGTAAGGAGCCTCTGGGACAACTTCAAGCGTACCAACATTCGAATTATGGGGGTGCCAGAGGAAGAGAGAGAGCAAGATATTGAAAACCTATTTGAAGAAATAATGACAGAAAACTTCCCCTACCTGGTAAAAGAAATAGACTTCCAAGTCCAGGAAGCGCAGAGAACCCCAAACAAAAGGAATCCAAAGAGGACCACACCAAGACACATCATCATTAAAATGACAAGGGCAAAAGACAAAGAGAGAATCTTAAAAGCAGCAAGAGAAAGACAGTCAGTTACCTACAAGGGAGTACCCATACGACTGTCAGCTGATTTCTCAACAGAAACTTTGCAGGCCAGAAGGGAATGGCAAGAAATATTCAAAGTGATGAATACCAAGAACCTACAACCAAGATTACTTTACCGAGCAAAGCTATCATTCAGAATTGAAGGTCAAATAAAGAGCTTCACAGATAAGAAAAAGCTAAAGGAGTTCATCACCACCAAACCAGTATTATATGAAATGCTGAAAGGTATCCTTTAAGAAGAGGAAGAAGAAGAAAAAGGTACAGATACAAATTATGAACAACAAATACACATCTATCAACAAGTGAATCTAAAAATCAAGTGAATAAATAA